TGGGCAGAATAGTTCAACAAATATTCCTGGATTTGATAAAGACAGAAACTTCCACAAAAATCAAAGGAGACAAATCACTTACTGTTGCTGCTTCTTCCAGGGCCTGTTTGCTTCCTCCTAGAGCTACAAAAAGAATATTCCTCTTTAGCAACTAACACATGTGGATAATCATTTATTCAACAACAGAAGCATCTTGGGAAGATTCTACCTAATGTTGTAGCTTAATGTAGTAGCTTCACAAAGAAACTAAGTATTTAGAAAAAGTTGGGAGATTAAGGTAAGTAGTTAATAAATAAGGCCCACTGGGTTTTAAAACAGAGGACTGCTAGTAATCTGTATACTTCTTTGCAAGTTGTGATTTCTCATTAACTAGCAATCATTTCAAAATGCTGCTGACAGTGCTTTAGCAAGACCTTTCTATAATGGCTACAACCACTATCACTTTACATTCTATATTGTGTCAGAGGTTTCAAAGATTCTGACAAACTTGTAAAACTAGCACAAACAGCACCAGCAGTTCTCTAAGCTCAGAGAGCCTGAGCTACTACGTGAGCCTCAAAATGCTTCTACACTTCAGTTAACAGCTAGGAGAGGTGCAACATCTTACCAAAATATTCAAGCCAATTCATTTCTCTAAGAGCCTTGGGAAGCCGGAGGATTTCAATGTTGTAAAGATTGTCTACTTCTTTGACGAGGTTCTGGGCATCTGACTGTATTTGCTTCGATCTAATTTGTACTGTAAGAAGGGGTTAAAAAAAACAACAAAATATGAACAGATCATTTTACATAAAACTGAACAGCAATTGAAAGCCTTAATAATTTTTCGTACTTTAGAAATGAACCTTTCTGCCATTTTCAAACTACCTGGTAATAACCCTATCCCCAACCCCAGCAAAGCTGACAACTCCTAGTTTCTGAGACATGATCAAAGATGCCCCTTCTAGCTCTGGATTCCAAGTTTTCCTGTCGTCCATGGATTTGTCTTACAGAGGTATACATCTTTCAATAAAGTGGCTCTACAGCATCCCAGTCAGTTGCCTCACCTCAGGCAGGGCGGTCCCTAGGGTTAAAGGGAAGAGGACCAATAGGAGACACCATGTGAAGGGGTTGTCTGAAACTGTTCAGCCACTCAGAAGTGTCAGTGTAAACGGTAGGAGTTTATGTTCATGCAGCACTTTCCCCACAATAAAGGAGGAAAGGGAGGTAGCCAGGACAAGTATCGCTGTCCTATTTTAGAAAGGAGAAAGCAGAGGTTTTGAAAGGTAATACGGTCAAGACCCCACGGCAGGTTAGTGGTAAAAGCCTGAACTGAAACAGATTCTAAACTCCTGTCTCGTGTTCTTCCTGTGACACTGCCCTTTTATTGTACAAAAAAGGTTCATGTCAGCAGTCATCTTTGATCCTTTTCCTAGCAAAGACTAATGGCAGAATTTCAGAAACGATGGGGATCATTTAGGGTGGGGAAACCAGAAGCCTTGAGACCACATTGGGCCTTTGAATACTTTTCAATACTCATTGAAAAAAACAGGGGTGTAGCTGATAACAATGAACGTAGCCTTACAATTGAATCAAGTGATTCTGATTTTTTGAGGATTTTGTGCGATAACTTTTTGTAAACCACCACAACAGCAACTGTAATAGAATTACATTAAATCTAACCAAACTGCCTTGCTGTTTAAAGTGGGCCTCGTGCATTCTAAGAGCCACGTAGCTGACAGACAGCCTCCCTAGAGTAACCGACGACAAACGTTCAGCTGGGTGACCAAACGCAATGGAACACAAAAGCACTACAGCTAAACATCAAGTTCTTCAGTTAATAACAAGCGTGAGGAAAAAGCGGCATTAAACCCTGCCTAACTCAAAGGACGTCCAGGCAAGGTTTGGTACATCAGAAGCTCTCAGGGCTGAATAAAGCCTACACGCACTTTCCAAAAAGAAGCCCCTGAACAATCTCAGAATCTACAGGGGACTCCTTCTATTTGGCCTTTGCACAAAATATCTTCCATGGCATTGGCAAATAACTTGTGGGGACCACTAACAATTAACATTTCTACTGCCCTTATTGTTTGCAAAGTGCTTTACATTTGATCCTTCACAAAGGTATTACTATCCTCAGTTCACAGATGAGGAAACTGAGGTTCAGAGTTGTTAAAAGACTTGTGTGTGGTCACACAGCTATCAACTGCTGGCGTGGGCACCCAAACACAGAGTCCTGACTCCTGAGTCTAACATCGATCATGGGTTTGGGTGTCGTCCTGTTTTATGCCTTTTAAAATATTGAAAGAAGTTCATCAAGCAAAGCTATCTTTGTGGTTTCATCTCCCTAGCAATCTTGGACTATGGCATAGGTGTGGGAGCTATCTTGTTGGAAACTTTCTAACAAAAACCATGACTACTTGAAAGACAGTAGTCTAATTACCCAGATGGGAAAAAAAAACCACTAAGTGTATACAGAATGCACATTGTTTCAATTATGATGTGAAGTTGGATGGACAGCACATATATCTTGAGTATAAAACTACCAAGGAGACTGGATCCTATTACATTTGGGAAACTATGTAGCATTTTCAACAACCCTAAACTGTTTACCTCTTGTCAAAGCCCATCTTTTTAATATTAATATTCTCCCAGTGATATTACACAGCTAACAAAATTAAACACCATGATTTCTGAAAAACCAAAACTGCAGATGAGCCAACAGAAAGATACACAGAGTAAGTATAAGTAGAGTACAAGCAGTTGTGAAGATCAAATGAGATAATGTATGTAATGTGCTTTGCAAACTTTATTATGATTATGTTATCAATGACAACTCACCCTTGAAAACGTTGTAAAATACAGAACAAGAAAATATTTGAAAAGAAAAGGAGGTAGATTAACTATGTAACTAGAGGGATACTGGATGGATAGCCTGAGTGTTACACTGGTATTCAAGAAACATTAAAGGAACTAGAAAAAAGACCCCAACATAAGGAGTAGATCCTGTATCAAGGGTTTGTGGAAGGATATGGGCAAGAGTAACAGCACATTAAATGTTGAAGTAAATGTGAATGAATATAGCATTTTTGTTTCTGTAACTCTGTACTTTGGGGAAATCATTTTTTACATCATTTCTATAATTGCCACTCTCATAGCTAATGGATAGATGGATGTTCCTTGGAATGATTTTTAGCCTTCTAGTTTTCCAGAGCAGAAACAAAGGCTGGAGGATAAGAGATTTGCCGAAGTCGAATGACAAGTTAGTGGCAACGCCAAGAAAACAACAAAGAACTTTTGTGCCCCAGTCCAGGTTTCTCCCCTTTCTTAAACTTCAAAGAACATTCTGTACTGCTTTTTATACACTTCCATCAACTAACAGGTATTTACTAAGCATTTATCGTTATGCCAGGAACTCCACTAAGGCTGAGGATACAAGGAATGGCAAAAACAAACAAAGAAAAAACCATCTTCGAGGAGCTTAATTGTATATGCAAGGTATAATACTGCATCTTTGTCACACATCTACTACTACACATGGAGCTAGGATCACATCTTGCTGAGTTTTCTCAGTGTCCTGCAGAGAACAGGCACCTCAAAAAAGTTCCTCAAATAGCTTATATCTCCACACAGCTGCCAAACTGATTCTACTTAAGGAAAGGTCTGACCACACCAGTCCCGTATTCAAACTCCAACACCTCTCCGATTGAATACAGGCTGTCCCAAAAGTCTTAATACACATTTTAAGCTTTAAAGCTTAAAGACATTGATAAAGCTTTAAAAGTGCCCTAAGACTTTTGGGACACACCATATAAGCTCTTCTGCTCGGCAGTTAAAGTCCTTCACAATCTGATCCAACCGACCTTTCCAGCTGTATTATAAATCACTTCCCTTCCCATACCGAATTAGCCTTCTCCCATTTTCATGACTTGGCATTAGCAACTCCCCATATCTGGAATGCAGCAGAATTCCTAGTGTTCTTCGAAATTCAGTTAAACGAACGTCTTTTCTGATTCTTCGAGCCCTCCTTCCTTCCAATGTCCTTCCCCACCAAATTACCTTGTATTTATTTTGCTTGTACTTACTCGTCGCAGGAAGTGGGGGGCTTTGGGTCTTGGGGAAGGGCTCCGATCAGTTCCCAAGGATACCAATATGATATTAGCATACAGTCATCGCCCTCTCCCCCGAAAGAAAATAAGCTCTAGGAGGGCAAGGGCAGTTCTGCTTTTGTCAGCGTATCCCCAGCGTCCTAGCAGAGGGCTAGGAAGTAGTAGTGCGGAAGGATACTTTCAAACACCTGCTCCGCCCTCCGAAAAGGCGCCGGTAAATATCCGGTGGGGGCAGATTCTACTTCTCCCTCTCCCCCGTCGACGCGTTCCGCGGTTACCCTGGGCAACGCGAGAGCAGGAGCCTCCCCCCCTTCCGCCCCGGCCTCGCTCCCACCTTCTCCGAGGGCGCACCTAGTAGGCTCCATTTGTATCCCTCCTCCAGGCCCCAGGCCGAGCCTCGGGGCCCGTAGAGTTACCTTCACGGTCGAAGTCCTTGAGGAAGGAGGCGAGTTTTCTGCCCCGCACCGCGCTCTTCTTGGTCGTCCGGCTCGAGGCCTTCTTCGACGGAGCCATGGTGCCGACGCGGAGAAGATGCCGCGCGATCCGGCAGACCGGGGCGGCGGCGCCGCGTGAGGCGGAGAGGACCCCGGAGAGGTCAGCCCCGCAGATTGTGCTCCCGCGCCCGACTAAAGGCCCACTGTTCCGGTCTGGCCCCTTACAGCAGAGAAGAACGAGGTGCCAAAGAAGTGGTCAATGACCAAACCGGGTCCACCCACCGGTCTCCGGAATGTTAAATGGAGTCGCTGCCTCGGCCAGCGGATTCAAACTCAACCGCCGCTTGATAGCCAATAAGAAGTCCCACTCCCGAGCGGGCGCGAGGGGCTCTCGGAAGAGCCAATCATCAGGCGCTTCCACAATCGGACCAGCCAATCCGCGGGCAAGACTACAACACCCAGGAGGTTTGGCGGCCAGGGTCACGTGTTTTCTGTGCCTGTAAACTAAGCTGGTTCCTTTTGCTCGTTTCTATCCGTTGGTAGCCTCTTTCGGTCATGCGCATTGGTGAACAGGAAGCTCGGAGGAGAAGGTAAGGCAAGTTGGTGGCGTCCCTCAGGCTCCTGGGGTGTTGGAAATGGCAGAGAGGATCTAGGGGGTGGGTTGGGGGTTGCTGAGGTAGGGAGAGAGACTGTCCACCTTCCTGGGCGGCCAGGATCAGAGATCGTCCCCTTCCGACCTCAGCGTTTGACGGATGGGGAAGCTGAGGCCCAGAGACCAGGAGGTACCGTGACTCATTGGCAGAGCCAGGCCTTCCGACCCCAAGTCCCGTCTGATTTGGGCTATGCTGTGGGCACAGTGGAAAACGGGCAAGATAGGAGGTCAGGGGACCTGATTGGAGTCAGCCTTTGGTCCCTTCACCCCTCTAAGCCTCAGTTTCCCCAACTGTAAAATGAAATTAACAATAGTTGTCTTTATCTACTGGTTTGTGAGGTTCAAGTGATGAATGTACCGTGCTATTTGTATATTTGTGTCATTGACCTGGGGATCTCCCAGTGCAGAAACTCCTTCCACCAGTACAGGCCTGCAACAGTTCTGTATTTTATTCATTTTAAGTTTAAGTTAAGTTTATGTGACTTGACAGTGGCCATACAGCCAGTCAAGTAAGTGTCAGAAGCAGAACCTGAGCCCTAGTCTGCCTGACTCCCAAGCAAGACGTCTGTGGGGTCACGACACTATATAAACATCAATTAGTAGTATGTTAACGTTAACTCATGCTCTTAGCGTCTTGACCGCTTGACTTCCATCCAGGCTGCCTGACTGCTTACGTCCATCTCAAGAGCAGTTGAGTTTTAACGGTAACCCTCCTGTTAGGGATTCTGTCAGGATAGGAAGGACACACAAACACTCGCTATTTTCCATTCCCTTACTTTGTTGTCACCTACCTAGAAAATTTGGGGAAAGGTACTCCCAGCATGCTGAGGATACGTTTTTCCCATGCAGACACATACAGTTCAAAATGTTATAGACAGAAGTTTTATTAAAAGAGGCAAACAAAATAGTTACACTGCAGTGAGTACCTATTAGTCCTAAAGATGCCTGTAAAGCATTAGTCACAACTCCAAATATGAGAATTCTTATGTAGAGGCTTCCTGCCACATCCTTTTAAGACAGGGGAATGACATCCTCCCTCTTCCCCTTCCAACTTCCCGTTCTTTGTGGATCAAATGAAGTATTTGTAAAGTGTTTAACACAGTGCTTATTAAAAGCGTATTCCCTTCCCTTCGTAGTAGAATTTCCTGGTCTCTCAGGCCTTGCCAGGGCCAGTCCCTAGAGTTCTCCATTCTTTCATTGCTATCTTCCAGAAGTGAACAGGAGAAGAGGATCATAGAGCTGGAAGGGACTTTAAAGGCTGAGGGGACAAAGCCCCTCATTTCACAGATGACAAAAGCAATGGCCTGCCCACCTGCTAACTACAGGTCCTTCAGTCTGAGACTGAATTCTTTTCTCCAAGCCAAGCATTTTGTCCCCTATGCCAAGTAGTTGCTACCAGGAGAATTTTTTTTGTCTCTGGTGTGTGCTAAAGGGCTTTTCACAGAACGTAGGAACAGTGAATAGCAGCTTAAGGTCTAGGCCCATGGACACCTGAGGACTATTAGGATTGTCTGTTGCCCTTAGCTTTAGTGACTAGACCTCTGTCTTGTAAAAGGCAATGTGTCATAGTGGCTAGAGTTCTGGATTTGGAGTCAGGAAGATCTGGGTTCAGGGCTAGATTCTGACACTTATTAGCTGTGTGATCCATAAGCAAGTCACTTCACCTTTCTCAGCCTCAGTTTACTCCTCTGTAAAATGAGGATAATAGCACCTCACAGGGTTGTTGAATGAGGGTCAAATGAGGTTATATATGTTAAAGGTTTGACAGACTTTAAGGTGTTAAAAATATCAGGTATTTCAGAAGATGTAGAAGAGGTGTAAGTTTAGGCCTTCCTCAGGGGCATTGTTTTTCCCTAGTCCAAGTAGCCCTAGTGGTCCCCTTTGGTGACGGGCATTTGGAGATGAGATCTCAAAGATGATCTTGTCCAACATCTAGCCTCTGTACAATATCTCCCCTAAAGTAATAATCCAGCCTTTGTTTGAAAGACCTGTAGTAAGGAGGAGCTGTGGCCATCCATTCTATTTTGGGACAGCTCTTGTTGTTAGGAAGTTTTTCTTTACATCTAGATGAAATGATTCCCTGCAATTCTGTCCCTTCCTGTCCCCTCCCTCCCCCCATCCTCATCCCCCGTGCCTCAAACTCTGCCATCTTTGGCCAGGCAGAAACAGAAAGGTTCTAGTCTTTCTTCCAAATGATAAAACCCTTCATATTTTTGAAGACACCTACCGTGCTTTCCCCCAAGTCTTCTCTTTCAGGCTAAACCTCTCAGTTCCTTTAACTAATCCTCATGTAGCATTAACTTCAAACTCTCCACTCTGGTTGCCTTTCTCTAATGCTTTCCAGAGTTTGTTGGTGCCCTTCTTTCTACAGTGTGACACCTGGAACCAAATCTAATATTCCAGGTATGGTCTGACCAGGCCAGAATACAGTGAGCCTCTCAAATCCTTTTTTTTTTAAGGTTTTGGGTATCTTAATGCAGCCTAAGTTTAGCTTTTTTAGTGACCACATAAGCATTTTTCACTCTTGATGCCAAGTGAACCTGCAACCAAGTAAAATTCCTAGATCTTTTTTCACAAAGCTATTATAAAGTTGATTTTTTTTAAACCAAAGGATAAGACTTTTTATGTATCACTTAAATTTCATTATATGGAGCTCAGCCAGTTCTTGCCTGTCCTTTGTTGATCCAGATTCCAGTTCTATCATATAGTGGTTTAGCAGTCCCCTTCAGCTTTCTTTTTTATCTCCAAGGTTTATAGGTATTTCTATATATGCCTAAATGCACATCATTAGTAAACATGTTAAAGCCACATGGGGCCAGGGACAGAAAGCTGTGGCCCTATAAGATGACATCAGGCCTTGATTTATGCTCTTTAGGTCTGGCCATGAATTCACCCCTCTTCAAATTTATCTGGCTGTACCATCATTTGATTCACTTCTCTATCTTGGCCAAAAGGATAGCATAAGAGAAATGCTTTGCTATAAATCTAAGCAAACTATATCTCCAGCATTCCCCTAAAATGTGGTTCTGAGACTGAACCAGCAGACTAGCCCATCAAACTCTCACATCCCTTCTTGGATGTCGTTTATGTCTTGGACCTCAAGCAGCACAGTACCCAACTGTAGACCACGTGAGGTTCCCGAAGGGAGACAGATCATGAGCTTGTCACTGTAAAGTAGCAGAGACATGCATTGCATAGAAAAAGGAGGACAGATAGCCGGAGCCCCTGCAGCCTGAACCTTTCCAGGCTTTTTGGATCTTTATCTGTAATCTTCATCCTCATTTTTATGCCCTGAACTGAACTCGGAAGAGTTTGGCCAGGCATCTAAGCGTAGCATACTGGCACTGGAGGTTCTGCAAAGCTGGCTTTAATACCTCTTGTATTGAGGTGCTTATCCTCTCAGTGGCCACATCCTGCTGAGCTTCTCAGCCCCAAACTTGTTACTGGCATGCGTCAGCTGTCATTTGGGTTCCATAAAATCTGTTTCGTACCAGTTCTAGAGATTGTTATAGAGCCAGGAAAGTTCTCTTAGCACTTGATTAAATAGACTTTGGATAGCACTAATTGCCTTTGTATACCTTGCATGGAGTCTCATATTGGGCAACAAAACTTACTGTTAATAAGTTCCAGTTTCTGCCACTCGATTAATAGTTGTTTGACTTGTGGTTAGCTAGATGCAATTCTCAGGCAGGCATATCTTGGAGATATTAGTAACATCTACTTCACAGGGTTCTTGTTAGGATCAAATGAGGTAATATTTGCCAAGTACTTTGCAAACTTTAAAGCACTAAGTATTAGCTATTCTTCTTCTTCTTCTTCTTCTTCTTCTTATTATTATTATTATTATAGTCCCAAATGTGACTATATTCCTGGTGCTAGGCTCTTCTCTAAACCACCTTATGTAATGTTTCTTCTGTGACCTTCCTAATAGTCTATTCCAGTTATATACCTCATTTGCTCAAAAACCTTTCTTTGACTCTTGTCTACTAAAGAGAGTATAGGCTCTGCATCGTGGCATTAGAAGTTCCACAAGACAGGCTCCAGCTTCTGAAACTCCTACCCTGCTTGCTCTTTATCCACTCCTTCCCCCACCTCCCAAGACTGGCCTATCCTGCATTCTCTAGGATCATCTTGACCTTTGCCATCTCCTTGCTCATGCAGACCCAGTTGCCCAAATGGACCCTCTTTCTTTCAGTCTGTTGCTTAACTCTGGGTATCACATCTTCCATGATTCCTTCCTTGATGCCTCTTCCCTCCCCAATAAAGTGATCTCTGCCTCCTTACATTTCTAATAGCACTTTGCCTGGATATCCTCCTTAATCTGTACTTATCTCTCTCTTTTTTCATGATGATCTGACTGTAAACTTCTTAAGAGCAGGACCTGGGTTGTATCTGTCTTTCTATCCTCACTTAGCCTGGTGTCTTGCATGTAATAGATCAGGCCTGCACAACATGTGGTATGTTGTGCTGGCCTGACAAGGGTAATAGGCCTCTTAATCACTTCTTCTTAAAGGGCTAGTGAGCCCTATTAGCTCTGTCTGAGAACAATCTTGAGGCTTGAGGATGAACTGAGCCATAGTTGTATCCTCTGCATTTCTCTTGGGTCGCAAATGGCCAACAGCCAAATGTTGTGAAGGCCTGTAATAGAAGCTTAATAAATGTGTGTTGAATTGAATGGTTCTGTAGTTGAGGCTTGCTAATAGTTGATTGGTTTTAGATGCAGAAAAGATGTCTCCAAGGGAGGCTTTGCCCGCTGTGCAGGAGGTTCTGAAGAAGGTTTTCCGTGTGGTGGAGCACCAGCATGGGCTCTGGAGGAGTACTCTGAGTGACTGCTCACCCCTCCTGACCTCCCTTAGCAATCTGGCAGAGCAGCTACAGGCCAGTCAGAATGTGCAGCTGGAAGAGACCCCACTCCGGGCTTTCCCTGACCTGAAAGACCGCTTGAGACGAAAACTGCTGGCTGCTGGGGACGCCATCTTGGACCAGTTGGGAGAGAAGCTGTAAGAGATGCCATGACATGTTTCTCGTGCAGAAAAAGAATTTAATGTTTGGTATTTGTAAACAGCCAGTTTGATCTCCAACCAAGGGGTCTTTTTTCTTTTCACAGCTTAACATGGATGAGTTTGGAGACATGTATTCTGTGTCCTTCCTTTGCTCATGTTCTCCAGGTCCCTTTGTCCTAGAACTTAGTGACCCAAAGCATGAGGTTTAATGTAAGGAGCAGGGTGGTACAGTGGAAAGAACACTGGATTTAGAGTCAAGACCTGAGTTGAAATGCCACTTACTAGCACTGTGATGATGGGCAAATCTCTTCATCTCTCTGGACCTCAGTTTCCTCATCTGTAAAATGAAAGGATTGGACTAGATGATCTCTAAGCTCCCTTTCAGCTCTAAAGCTGTGATACATATTAAGACAAAAACATTTGTTAGAAGGCCTCAAGAGCAAAAGAACTTTTTAGGAAGGGTGTTGATAAGAAATCTCATGAAATTCTTTTTTTGTGGGGGAGGCAATTAGGGTTAGATGACTTGCCCAGGATCACACATCTAGTAAGTGTCTGAGGGCAGATTTGAACTCAGGTCCTTTTGACTCCGGGGCTTGCGTTCTATCTACTGCACTACCTAGCCCATGAAATTCTTAATGTGTGTCATAGACACTTTGAATTGGAAGGAACCTTAGAGGTCATTTAGTTTAGCCCTTATCCGCAGAATGATCTCTCTGTGATATTCCTGAGAAGTGATCATGCAACCTCTACTTGGAGACATCTCATGCTGGGGATGTGCCAGAGGCCACCCATTCTACTGACCAGTCCTCACACTAGAGACTTTTACCTTCAAACTTGGAAATAAAGTTTGCCCCTGTCACCTCTAGAGCTGCCCTGTAGGGCCAAATAGAATAGGTGTGATCCTTCAGATCATTAAAGTCAATGATCACAGTGCCTCCTTCCTCACACCACCAAATCTTCTCCATGTTAAAAATCCTTCAGCTGGTCTTGACATTACATGATTTCCAGTCACCTCACGCTCCAGCTTGCTCTCTCAAAATGTGACCAGAAAAAAAAAATTTAAAAAAATATGGCCAGAAAAAAGAAATTAAAAAATAAAATTAAAAAATGTGGCCAGAAATAATGGGACCCACTTCTCACTAATTCATAGCCTTTGTTTACCTCAAGTGGCTATGTGGGTTGCTGGGAGTATGCAGTACATCTTTGCAATGCTGTTTTAGCACCATTTTCTTTTCCTGCAGAACCAGCCTCCTCCAGGTGCGAGATACAGTCAGCAGCCATGTGGAACAAGTGTTTGAGCTGTATGAGCAGAAAGCAGATGAACTAGGCCTTGATGTAGTCTTGCAGCCTTCAGCTGATAGCCCTTCATTGGCTGATATGCTGGCATGGTTACAGGACATTGACAGGCATTTTCGAAATTCGTATCCTTCACACAAATATCACTGGGGAGGATGGTAGCCTCTTTGAGGAAACCCCACATGCCTTCAGCTTACAAATAGTTGTTTTGGTCCATATAATCACAGGATTTCAGAGTGGATATGGACCCTCTTGGCAGAGGTCTAGTTTACTCCACACTGGAAAAAGAATCTCTAGAAATCTGCTAAATGGTCATCCTATTTTTGCTCGAAGATGTCCGGTGAGAATGAAACTGCTTCCTCCCTGAGGCTTCCCATTTCACTTTGGGGCAGCTTTACTTGTTCGAAGTCTCTCCTGACATCAGGCCTTTTGGGGCTAAGCACGAGCATAATCCATCTTCTGTACTTCCCACCTCTTTCCTGTGGGTGTTCTCTTCTTCAGGCTAAACTTTCCTCACTCCTTCAGGCAGTCCTCAAATGGCATGAACTGGAAGCCCCTCACCATGCTGGTTGCTGTCCTATGGAAATTCCGTCTCATGTCCTCCTTAAAACGTGGTGTCTAGAACTGAATGCGATACTCTAGATTTGTTCTGACCCATCACCTCTTTGTTTCTAGAGGAGGTAACGCCTTGCTTGATGCAGCCCAAGATTGCATTAGCTCTTTTGACTGCCGTGTCACACTGAAAACTCCAGTTGTTTGCAGTCCACTAGAAGGCCCAGATGTTTCTCAGACAAACTGCTGTCTGTGCCTTCCTCATCCTGTATTTGGGAAACTGCTTTTTATTTTTTTAACCTAAATTTAAGACTTTGTATTTATCTCCATTAAATTTTACCTTATTAGATTTAGCCCACGTTCTCAGGACCTTCTTGGCCCTTGATTATGTCAATCAGAATGTTAGCTATCTCTCCCACCTATGTGTCATAGGTGTGATAAGGCTGCCATCTTTTCCCTATATAAGTCAGTGATAAAAATGTCAGACAGCACAGATCCCTAGGGCACTTCTCTAGAGACCTTCCAAGTTTCCCATGAATGAGTAATGATTATTCTCTGGTCTATCTAGTCAGCCACATCTGAATATTTAACTACACCATTGTTTAATCCACATCTCTTTCTTTTCCACAGAATATGGTTGAGAGTTATCAGATTTGTTGCTGAAATCTAGGCACACTTGTCTATGTGACACCTTTGATCTGTCAGTTTCTAGTCAATCAGAAAAGAGATAAAGTTAACGCTAAAGTCTGCAGAAGTTGTTAGCACTTGCCCCATGACCCTGATTGGGCCAGTTTTAGACCAAAAACAAAGAGTGCTCCCTTGGCTAGATGTTCACTACCCATTTATTTAATGAGGTATTTTAGGATTTTTCCAGGAATCAGAATCAAGCTTGACAGCCTCTATTCTTTTCCCTTTTTTGAAAATCAAGACACGTAGGCTTTCCTAGGCCTGGGACATACTTACTGTTCTCTCTCACCTTTCTGAGATCACTGATGTCCACCACAGATGTAGTTCATCTGTCTCAGCAGCTAGACCCTCTCCTAATATCTCCATATCTTTGTTATCAGCTCACTCTTAGCCACTTTTGTGGCTTGTCCTTGCCAGTCCACAGGTCATTCTTCTTGGCAGAGAAAACAAGTAAAATAAACATCAGGCACCTTTTGTTGTCAGTTGTCCTCTTATCTACCTGGAGCAATGGTCCTATCCATCCGTGATGATCTTTCTTCCCCCTGGTAGACCTGGATAGGATAAAAGAATATATTGGTGGTCCTTAACATTCCTCTCTTGGTGTTTGGGTGAAATGTAATGATGTTTGTCCTCTTTGTCAATTTACATTTGAAGTCAGGGGTTAAGTATCAGCAATGTCCAAGATACCCACTAGGGTATTTATATACAGTGCCATCATATATTTACTCTTTTGCCTCATCCAGAAGTATTGTTAGCTGTTTCTCATCTCTCTCCTCCCATTCCTAGCTAAACTTCTTGAAAATCAGTATACACACCCAGTAGTTCCAATTTGTCACTACTCATTCTCCCAGCTCCTTACAGTATAATTTCTTCCCTAGTACTCTACCATATTGCTCTTTTAGAGGTTACCAGGAGCCCCTTAATCACCATTTTTCATCTCTCACCCTTTTTGACCTCTGTAGCATTTGCCAATGTTGACCACTCTTTTCTTCTGGATCCCTCCCGTTCCCATAGCTTCAGAGACACCAAGCTCTCCTGCTTTTCCTGTATCTGTAACCACTTCCTCTCTTCCACATCTTTCTAATCCTTAAGGTGAGCACTTTGTCCCAAATTCTGGCTTTGAACCTCTTTTCTCTTTTCTTTTCCCTTAATGATTTCCTATACCTCCTCCACTTGCTCTGTCACTCTGTTCAGGCCTGACCTCTCACCTGAGTGACAGAGCCATCGCCTATAAGATAATCTCCTTCTGCTTATCCCACCAGCACCTCAACATATCCATAATGGAAATTCTAATCCTGCCCTCAGAATCATCCCCTTTTCCCCGTTTTTCTTGATGGCACAAAGCCTGCTTCTAGTCCCCCAGGCAAAATTCTTGGCGTCATCTCTGACTCTTCTTTCACCTCCCCACATTGAAGAATTGGCATGCCTGAAATGCCCCCTCCCTTCTCACTTCTGCCTCTGAGAATCCTTAGCTTCCTTTGTGGCTTAACTCAGGTATAGCCCACTCATCCCTCCCCCTTCTCCCTACCACACCCCCTCCAACCATTGGAAACCCTTTTGTGATCCCCTAACTGGTCATGCTCTCTTTCTCCCTCTTGTGTCAAATTTTATTTTATTTATCTGTTTAAACATTGTATTCAAGTTCCTTGAGGTCAGATTGTTTTTCATTTTGTCGTTATATATCCATGCACTGTGCCTTGCACATAGTAGGTACTTAATAAATGCAGGTTGAATGAATGGATAATTCATTCCTATTAGTTCTGCCTCTGAAATGTCATCTTGAATTCCAGTGCTACACTCCTATTGTTATTTTTAAGGAAACCACTAGCTGCCTAGACTATTGTAATAGCCCCGTAATGGCTCTTCCCCCTTCCACTCCCTTGTCCTTCAGTTCCTCATCCCAGGCCAGGCTAATTTTCCTTATATATTGATGTAATCCTGTCATGCCTCTGCTCAAAACCCTTCAGTGGCTCCCTATTGACTGCTGAGTGAAATCTATTTGTATCTTGGTGTTCAAGGCCTTACCTAATATGGAGCATAGTATTTTTTCCTTGTCTTACCTCTTACTGCTCCCACCTATGTGTGTTATTGCAGTCAAGCTAACTCACTGTCCATCATACCTACTGCATATGTGGCTGCTGTGGTGCCTTGGTTCCCATCACTGCAATGCCCCCCCCATTCCTTACCTCCCCTCAAACTTGGCCTCTTGAAATCCTACCTATCCTTGAAGCACATTTCAGAACCTCTTCATAAGCTTTTCCTTTCCCCCTCGGTGACTAATAACATTTCCCTCCTTGATGTACCAGCAATACTCTTTGCACCAGTCTTATTACACTAATGCAGGGGTGGGGAACCTACAGCCTCGAGGTCACGTGTGGCCTTCTAGGTCCTCGGGTGCAGCCTTTTGACTGCAAGGGGATTTGTTCTGTGAAGTTTGGATTCAGTCAGAGGGTCACACTTGAGGACCTAGAGGGCCACATGTGTCCTTGAGGCCATAGGTTCTCCACCTCTGCACTAATGTATTGGGGTTTTTTGGTAGTTATTTATTTATGTATTAATCCCCCTATTTGATTGGGAGCTACATGAAGGCAGGGATTGTGTTTCACATGATCTTGATACCTCTCTTAACATCTTACATAGCGCTCTGCATATAGAAAGCACTTAAATATTTGTTAAAGTTGAGCATGTTTATCTCACTCTTGGGAGTCCTTAACCTCTATAAAGTTACCTGGAAAGGAAGTACCTCCTCTCCCAGATCCAGTGGGGGAATTTGCCAAACATCCAAACCCTGCCCCAAGCCTGGGTTCAGATCTCAGAGAATGGCCAAGACCTCGTACAAGGTATTTGTGCCCATTTCAGACCTCCTACACACACCCGTGCGCCTTGGGGTCATTAAAAAGAAGGGTTAACATGTGCATTGTGTCTGCAGGATGTCGAATGTATGTGGTCACACACGATGGACGTCACACACGTTTCTGGTTTTGGTTTTTTGTTTTTGAGGCAATCAGCGTTAAGTGACTTGCCCAGGGTCACAGCTAGTTAGTATCTGAGGCCAGATTTGAACTCAGGTCCTCCTGACTCCAGGGCTGGTGCTCTATCCACTGCACCACCAAGCTGCCCCCACACACGTGTTTCTGACTTCACATCTAGAACAGTGGCGTGCTTGGTCAGAACCTGCTCCTTTGTCTAATTCTCTTGATGTTGCCAACTCTTCCCTAGTTACTACTAGGTTTGACACATCAGTCATTTTTCACTTGACTTTTCCCTCATTCCCCCCGATGTCCAAGTTCAGTTAATCCTAGCTTTGAAGCATCTCCCTTAGCATTTCAGTCCCCCATAGTCTCTTATCTGAAGTGCTGTGGTAGCCTCAACAGTAGTAATTGTTGCTTCCAATCTCTCCCCTCTAAGCCTTTCTTAGTACTGCTGCCAGATAGACTTTCTAATGTACAGCTCCAATCATGTCACTCTCCTCTTCTAAAGTCTTAAGTGTCTCCTCATTGCTTCCAGGAATGGGCTGAATTCTTTAGTCACACAACCAGTATTAGAGTAACAATGGTCAAGTCACTTCATCTGTATAATGGGGATAATGATACCTCTACCTGTGTGCCTCTCCCATTGTTGTGAGATTCATATGAAATGGTGTATGTAAAGTGCTTTTGCACACTGTCTAAATGTCAGCTATTATAGTTGGGTTTTGCTGAAACTGATAATTGCTATTCTAGGGAGCCTAGGGATGTAGAATACCCCCAAGAATTTTAAACAAAACAGGAAATCAGGCCTATTTTAATATGGAGGAAATATGGGTCCAGTGCACAAAGGTGCGTTTATTTTTAGTTAAAATAAAAATAAAATATTACTAGAATCAAATTTATTTCAGAGCAACCATTAATCACATTGGATTGCATGAAATATCAGGGTTTTCTGAACATTATTTGGAAAGTGCTTATCTTAGCTTGACATTCAGGTCCTAAGGAATTTAGCTACAAACTACCTTTTGAGTCTTCTGTTACTTCCCTGTACAAATTCAACACTGTAGTCACTTTGTTCTATCTTGTCATACTGTCCCCATGTGTGGAATCGTTCCCCTCCTATTAAAATCCTTCCTAGGTTAGGTGCTACCTCTTCCTTGAAGCCTCCTCTGATTCTTCTACCTCTTTTCCCCTCTTCTGCTCCTCTCTGCCAGTTTTCAGTGATCTCTCCCTCTTTTAAACTGTTATATAATATTTTGTACATCTTAGGTACTTAGCATATTTTAAGTTATATTATGTTTTATATATGTGTGTGTATATATATATGTATATTTGTCCACTTTTTTAGTTTAATTTATTTTTTTTGTTACATTTTAAGTTCTGAACTATATCCTTCTCTCTCTACCCCACACTACATTTGACATAGATTTATAAAATATATGTAAAACCATGCTGTGTATACTTCTGTTTATCAGTGTTTTTTTTTCTGGAGGTGGATAGCATGTTCCTTCATAGGTCCTTTGTAGTTGATTTGAGTACTTATACTCAGAGTAATTTGGTCATTGACAATTATTCTTCGAACAATATTGTTGTTACATTCTCTTGGTTCTGTTCATTTTACTTGTCATTATTTCATTCAAGTCTTTCCGTGTTTTTCTAAAGTCATTGAGCTCATCATTTTTTATAGCGCAGTGGTATTTCATCACAATCATATACCACAACTTGTTTAGCCATTCTCCAATTGACTGGGCATCCCATCAGTTTCCAGTTCTTTGCCACCACAAAGAGAGCTGCTATAAATATTTTGGAACGTATAGGTTCTTTTCCTTTTTCCCTGATCACCTTGGAAAACAGACCTAATAGTGGTGTTGCTGGGTCGAAGGGTATACACGGTTTCATAATTCTTTGGGCATAATTTCACATTGCTTCCAAAATGGTTTTGGATCGATTCACAGTTCCACCAACAGTGTATTAATGTCCCAGTTTTTCCATATCCTCTCCAATATTTGTCATTTTCCTCTTCTGTCATTTTAGCCAGTCTGATAAGTGTGAGATGATATCTCAAAATTGTTTTAATTTGCATTTCTCTAAAAATGATTTAGAGCATTTTTATATGATTATATATAGTTTTGATTTCATCGAAAAACAGCCTTTTTAGATCCTTTGACCACTTAACATTTGGGGAACGACTCATATTCTTATAGATTTGACAAAGTTCTCTATATGTTTGAGATATGAGATCTTTACCCAAGAAACTGTATATACTTTGTTCTTTTCACCTACTAGATCATAAGCTCCTTTGGGGTAAGGACTATGTTTTACTTGTATCCCTGAGGCCAAGCACAGAGCTTAATTGTATAAATAAAAAATTTTCTCTCTTCCTTCCCCAGATATCCTGCTGAATGTATCTTTTTTCCTGGAGACTTAAGGCAGGTGTGTTTCTATCTACAAAACAAAGAAAGTAAAGTCCAGCTTTATTTCTCCTGCCACTTTAGAATAAATGTGGACATACTCTGGTATTTGGAATGCAAATTTCTAGAACACAGTTATTTCGTAGAGTATTGGGGCTCCATGTTTCTGAGCCCAAGGAATTTGTATTCCATATTATGTCTACATGCCCAGGAAGGAAAATCAGGTTGGTAGTGACAGAAGAAGTAGTCAGGGACTGCCGGAGGATGTTGGAGGAGCTGGAGTAACCACTGAAGAGGGGGACTATAAGGAAGACAGACAAAGAGTGTCAAAGAGCCAGTGCCATGCCGTGCTTTTGTCACCCAAAGCGTTTGCCCCATTTGCTGTGCCTTTACCTTTGGGAGGATACATTTACTTTTATCAGACCTTGAAGGAAATGTGATGAACAAGTTTGTCTGACTGAAGAAAAAAAATTATATTTAAAGCTCTACTTTTCTGAGGTTTTGGGGACAAAAATAAAAATGACAAAACTCAGCACTGGTGGAGTTGTGGAGAAATAAAGATGCGCATGCTTTGCTAGTGGAATTGTAAACTGGTGAGACCTTGTGGAACAGACTGACGGCAGGCTCTGAGTTCTAACTGTGCCATGTGCTGTGTTCGTAGTCTATGATCCAGTAATTCCCTTTCTGGGGATCTTACCCTGAAAAGCATATCAAAAAGATGTCCCAACAGTTAGAAACCTGTTCTGTTACTGCAATCCAATCCTATAATTCAATGAAGAACTGTAAATAGGAGGGCTAGTGACTATGAAAGTCATAGGAAAAGACTGATATAAAATAATGAGAAATGGAAGAACCAGAATCCGGATTAAGTAACAAGAAGAAAGTAAGCCCTTGGATAAGCCCTCTTCTCCTTTGAACTCTCTCCACGCCTAGAATTTTATTACAAGAATATTTCCGTGGAGAAGTTCAGTATGCACACTGTGACTATACAAAGGATAATGTGTGTGCAGATCTACTGACGGGGATAGAGAGAGGCTTGAACTTTTAAGTTGTTACAGAAATTTGTATAGTGAAGTTCATTTTAAAATTCATGTTTAATTGGTTCTGTTACTCTCCCAATTTATTTAACGTTTTCCCCAGGTTGTTGTTTCCAAACTGTACCACAAGGGGGTGGCAACGTGGCATAAATTACTTCTGAATTTCTTTTGGGGATTATTGTAGGGTCATGAAGCCATTAGAACAAGAAGAAAATCTAGGGATCACCTAGTCCAAACTCATCATTTGACAGAGGAAGAAGGAAACGTAGAGGAGGGGGAAGAGACTTGACTAAGGCCATGCACTTTTTCAGCGGCGGGGTGGAGAACCCCAAACCCCGGTTGCTTGGCCCCCAGACCAGAGCTTTTCTTCTGTTTCTCTGTAGCCCTGTGTCTGCCTGGGTAATGAGTACTTACAGATAGAGATCCTGCAGCAGGCCATTGTGGTCTTATTGATTGGTGAGAGGAGGGGAGAGAAGAGATTATCCCCTGAGGTGGTCACTGATGATATGAATAACCTCATGCTTTCTGGCCTCATCCATCCCTTCCTGGCACTTCCCTTTTCTCTTGGCCTGGTCTCCTAAATCGGGGAGACAATATGTCATGGGTGTAAAGCCTTCCAATGGAGAATGTGTTCTGGCTCTCGATTTTGTTTGGGATAAATAAATAGTTTTAATAGCTAATGTTTTTGTGGTGATTTATGGTTACAAAGTGCTTACACATCCATTATCTCATTGCATCTCTCGCATACTCCATGAGGTTGGGATATTATTACCAACTTACGGATGAGAAAATTGAGCCTCAAAGGGGCGTGAAAAGAGCTTGCTCAGAGACACATGATGGAACCTCACAATGGAGGCAACATAACTTTGTGGGAAAAGACTGTTGAACCTTGGTGCTGCCACGATGAGCTATGTGACATTGGACAAGGTTTGCACAAGACGGTCTCTGAGGTGTCTTCCGGCTCTCACACTTCTGTGACCCTTCCAGTGTAACTTATAGGTGGGAATGAAGCAAGCTCTTGATTACCCTTCTTTTCCTTTGAACTTTCTCCATTTCTAGAGATTGGCTACAAGGTTTCCATTGAGAAGACGAGGAAGCACTTGTCCCGAGTGAATGAACCTATTTAGGTCTTAGCTTGGCCTTGGGAGAAGAGGAGCCAAGGTTAGTGTGTTCAGGAGAGAAAGACCCATTTTTACTACTGCTCAAGGCCATTTACATCCTTCCCTTTATCCCTGTCCCAAGGAAGGAGACCAGAACTTCCCTGGGTCCTAAACCTATTTCCTTAGCTGGTCCCTGGGCTGATCAGGGCCTTACTCAGGCAATAGCAGCAGTCTTGTCCGTTATCCTCCCATCTCACTCCTTTGCCAAGACGGTTGGAATGAAGCAGGGCTGCCTGCCAGAGCCTTACCCTTCTGCCTTCTGTGCCAGGTGCAAGGAGCAAACAAGTGCTTCTAGAGGAATTTCAGGGAGGTGACCCAATTCCAGCTCCCTCTCCCTCTCGTTCCTGAAAGGCTCTGACTCACTGGCTCCTTGCTTATGAGCAGCGGATCTGTTGCTCTCTGAATTGACAGCACAGATGAGCCAAGGAGACCTAACACGTAGGAGAGACTTTTAGGAGACTAACGTTGAAAGAAATTAGCTAGTTCCCTCATTGTACAGGGGAAGAAACTGAGGCACAGAGGTTGCTGAAGGCAGCTGACTAATAATTGGGTGATTTTCAGCTTGAAGAATTCAGAGTACTAGAGGAGACAAGTTACTGAGTCTAGTCCCATGCCCAATGTTTAACCTCTTCTGCCACAATCCTAGCAAGTTAGTAATCAAGGCTCTAAGAAGTTCTTAAATACTTGCCATGGGTCATGGACCCTTTGGGCAGTCTACAATGATGGAAAACTCACCGTTTTTCAACATAGGCCTTGTTAAATAGCTTTGATGGGAAATTCATCTCTTCTCCCACTCCTCTAGGTTCTCAATTCTACCTTCTGGGGCCAAGCAGAACACTAACCTTTCTTCCAGGGGTCAGCCCTCCAGGCAGCAGAGGACAATAACCTCAGGCTTTGTACAGACCAACTCTCACTGTAAAATTCCACGGTGGTCCATTTTACAAATAATCTCAGAGCCCTACCTTGGAACAACAAGCAGTTTCATCTGTTTGGCCAGCTGGTACTTTGTCATGCAGAGAAGATAAAAAAAAAAATAAGTGGCCTTGGGAATGATGGTTGGCTAGAGCAAAGGCAGCTTTTCAGAAAGAAACTAGCTAGCCTTGGTCCCCTTCCTTTTCTCTGTGTCTGCTTAGCTCCTTTTCCCACACTCAGGCCACTTCTCTTACCTGCTCACTTTAAATTGTGGGAAACACCTGCCAATTGCAAAGAAACAGCAAGGTACAGCGAAAAGAGTGCCACACTTAGATTCAGTGGACATGGGCTCAGATCACGTCTCAGACACTAGCTGTATGGTGAGTGACCAATCACTTCTGAGCTTTAGTTTCCTCATTTGTAAAATGGGAACGATGATGACAAGTCTTGTACTGTCTATCTCATAGGATAGTGGTAAGAAAAGACCTTTGTTTAAAGTTCTATGAAACAGTGAATTATGACTCACTCGAATTCAACTGCTGTTTATTTTTTACTGCAAACATTTCTGCACTTGGAAGCGAAGTGCGTGAACTGAGATAGCAGGAAGGTAGGAGCAGCTACTAGCAAGCCTAAGGAGGGCACCAGTCTCTTTCCTACTGTGGGGCTAGCTATAGGCAGCCTGTCAAAGTAGGGTGAGCCAGAACTTTTGGGCTGATGCTAAGTTGTCCCACTATACAGGGGTGGTTGAGTTTATGTGTGGTGAAGGGTGAGCAGCAGAGTCAACCAAGACCTCAGTGTCAGGGGTGTGCTTTGTTGCTGTTCGGTCTAGTCTGACTTTGTGACCCCAATTTTGGGGTTTCCATGGCAAAGATACTGGAGTAGTTTGCCATTTCCTTCTCCAGCTTATTTTATAGATGAGGAACGGAGGCAAACAGGGCGAAGTGACTTGGTCGCACAGCTACTAAGTATCTGAAGCCAGATTTGAACTCAGAAAGATGAGTCTTCCTGATTTCAGGCCCCACCACCTAGCTGCCCCTAAGAGTGTGCTGATAAGTGTTTAACAACCAGCTGTAGGCTGGAGGATGTATGCACAACATGCTTTTAAGTTTAATCGGCATTAACATTTCTCTATCACTTTCTTAAGTCTAGAGGGTCCACAAAATGTGAAATTGAACTCTATTTTGTAACATTTGCCAGTGTTGCACTGAAAATTTAACAGCTGGCTCTCGGCCATTTCAAACTGACTCCAGCATACCCTAACTCTAGTCTGACCCGTACCCGAACAAAAATTCATTGTAGAACCATCCCCAGGAATTATTCATCCAGTCTTTGCTTGAAGACATGTGGGTAGACATCTACTTCCTGACACAGCCCATTCCGCTTTTGGAGAGAGTTCTCCTTCATAGCAAGTTCCTCGTGTTCAAGCAAAATCTGGCCCTCTGCAACCTCTACCCATTGCTCTGTCCTCAGAGGACAAGTAGAACGATTCTACATGACACCGCTTTAAATACTTACAGGTTCACAATCTTGAGAGGTAGAAAAGACCAGGAGATCATCTAACTTAGAGGCTCTTAACCTTTTTTTTTTCCCATGGGACCCTTGGGCAGTCTGGTGAAGCCTTTGGACCGCTTTTCAGAATCATGTTTTTAAGTTCATAAAATACATAAGATTACAAAGGGGACCAACTATATTAAAATATAGTTATCAAATTTGTTTAAAAAAATAAGTTTATGGACCCCAGGCTAAGAAACCTTGACCTAGCCTGTTTTACAGATAAGAAAACAGGACCAGAGGAGAAGTAACTTGTTGAACTTCATACACTTAGTAGGTAGCCAAGCTAAGGTCTGAACTCCCAGGTTCTACTTGAAGACAGCTATAGGCCCTCACCCTAATCTTTGCCTCCCACCCCCAAGTCTTCTTTTCTTCAGGCTAAACATTCTCAGTTCCTTCAACTAATATTTCTATGGCCTGATATTCAAGCATGTCACCATCCAGGTAAACTTACTCTGATGTTTATCAATGCCCTTAAATGTGGCACTGAGAACTCAGCAGAGTATTCCAGATGTGGTCTGACCAAGGCAGAGTACAGCAGGATTATCACCTTTTTTCTGGGCCCTGTCTTCTGAGCCTTTCTCTATTCTTTTGGGTCAGTGTATTTCTGAAGTCCTGGGACCCTGATACTAAAAGTAGAGCACCATACTGGGCAATGGGGGAAATACAAGCATTAAGTAAGCTTCTACCCTGAAGAAGCTTCCAGTCTAGCAGGGGAGCTGAGACACCATGCACATACCACTAATAATTTGCATTTTTCTAACACTTATAAGTTACATAACCCAGGAACACTGAAAGATAAATGATGTATTATCATCCCCATTTTACAGCTTCCAAAACTGAGGATCTGCCCAGGCGTGCACAGCTCACAAGTGTTGAAACCTGAACTCGGGACTTGTGAGTCCAAGTTTAGCAATCCTTTGGTTATACCACACTGTCTTTGTCTCAAATACGGGTTAGCTTTATGTTCCTGGCTTTATGTTCTCAAACTCCATGTGCCCAGCCTAATAAACCCCACTACTCCATCTAACATTTATAGGCAACAGCTGATTTTTATCAGCCAGTTTGTTCTTTCATATAAGCAGAGTTTTATGAGGGTCTTTTGAGCTGGCTTATAATGTGATGAAATGTCTGCAAAACTCTACCATAAATCCAGGGAAGCTGCCAAGGGCAGGATGTGATTTTGCAGGCACATTTTCCCCAGCTGGAAGGCCCTGTCCCTTTGCCGAGTTTTCAGTTTTGCACTTGTCTCTTTAGACTTGCACAGGCTCTTCGACAACTCGCGGCTTCTTTAAAGGCAACTGAGAAGTGAGGGGTAGGAAAAATGGACCAAAAAGCTAATCTGTGCTAAAAATGATCCTGGACAGATGTGCCTCACTGAAAGCTCCTTTTGATGCAGGCTGCTGTAACAGAGACATCAGCCCGAATGGCCACATGAACTCTGAAGGGAGGACAGTGCCAACTCAGCAAATTATTAATCTTTTCATTATTTGGGTTGAGTTGTCACTCTTCACACTTGCCTAAGGCCTTCATCGTCTTTCATTAGTTTGGTAAATTAAGAAGCAACTCTTAAGGACCTCTCCCCAGATGTCTTCCAAACTTGACATCTTTTTCCAACATCTGGATCCTCCTCAGCAAGGAGACAGGGTTTGAACAGCCTCCAAATGAGGTGAGGCCCAGGTGCTTTTTGTACAGGCCAAAGCGAATGAATGGTTTCCAAAACATCTAAGAAGCTGAGTGCTAACCATATACGCCAGAGAATTTTCCCCCAAACATGGCAGCACCTTCTCTATTTTTGCCAATAAGCCATTAGGCCCAGCTTGGCTGGGCTTCCACGAGTCAAAGGATCAAAGGATTTTCAGGCCAGAAGTAGCCTTAAGAGATCTAGTCCAGTCCCCTCATTTCACAGATGAAGAAAGTGAGCCCGTGTCTTCTAACTCCCAATCCGGTGTTCAGCCTCTCCATCCTTCATTCCCTTTTCCTCAACCACACACAGCACGATATTGCCCTTGGTCCTAGAGACTTATGCAGTCTATCCCCGTCCCCTCCCCAGACTT